CGATGGGGCGATAAATATATGTTATCCACATAAAATTAGGGGTGGGACCGGTCCGGTTATTATGAAAAATTGGAAGAACCGAAAACCGAAGCATATGTAAATTTTCAGTTCGGTTACTCTATACTTTTTTTAGGGACCGAAAAAGAACCGAACCGACCATTTTCGGTTCGGTTCCTCCGGTTCTTTGGTTAACCGAACACAATGATAAAACCGATATTGACCGGTTATAAACCGGTTATTGTTGTAGAAACCGGTTATATTTGAACTATTATGAACAAGTCTTATAAATCATAATATATCAATACAAATTACAAAATATAAATTAGTGAACTACTGAATTAGCACCATGACATGATTCAACTTACAAGACTTAATACAAATTATCATCATGATTCATGAACCACAGTACCACATCATTCATCAAATCCAACATACACTTTAGTAATTACAAAGCCAACCTGCCAAAGTCCACAATCCATAATTCCATATCAATAATCCATAATCCACAATTCATTTCAGTCCACTGTCACATTTCACTTGAGTCCACACATCACAGTTCTAAACAGCCACAACAAACCATAATAACATATCAGTTACTGAGTTACATAATCCAATGTTCAAACTTCAAATTCAAACTTCCAAATCAAAGCACAAAGCCAAAGCTGACATTCAAAACTCAAAAGTTAAATGGCAGATTACATTTCAAATTTTCTTTTTGGAAGATGTTCCAGCATCAGAGCATTTGGAGGCTTTTGCAGCTTTATTTTTCTTCTCAATCAACTCCATTTCCTTTTGTTTCAATAACTTCTCTCTATGCTCTCTCTCCTCTTGGTCCAATTCTGTTAAAACAGAAAGAAAAATCAAAAAAGAAAGAGGGGAAAATCAGTAACACTAATCAAATGATTGCACAAATTACACATGTCCAATATAACTCACCTTGTTCAGTTTTTTCAAACCATTCAATTTCATCTGGGGTAGGAGTGTATGCAAGGGTTGTGATGGAATCAGACTTAAGCCAACTTTGAAGACTAATCAGTGCTTCCACTGATCTAGGAGTTAATGAACTCCTATGAGGATCAATAACTCTTTTCCCAGTGCTAAAACTTGACTCAGAAGCAACAGTACTAACTTGAATGGCTAGGACATCTTTAGCAAGTGCTTGCAAATTAGGATACTTACCTCCCATTAGCTTCCACCATGACAAAATATTAAAATCAACTCCTGGACCTGGTTTCTCAATTGGATCAAGTAGGTATCTGTCTACCTCATGAGCAACCACAACAGCATCAACATCTTCAAGGTCTTTTGTCCAATCTTCCATCATTTTTGCTTTCTTTCCTGTCAGCTTGTTTAAAGAACAACTACAATATAAAATAACAAAAGTAAATGAAAACAGAAACAAGATGAACATGAACTTATGAAATAACTAACTATGAAATAAAAACAGAAAAGTAAACTCTTTCAAATAAAAGTACCTGCTTCCACTCCCAGTTTCATCACCATCTGCCTTTTTTGTGCTAGAACTTTGAACACCATTCATTGAAGCATACAAGTCAGTGAGAGTAACAATCAAGTCTTTCAAAGTTTCAGTACTTACTTTTACAGTAAATGCATCATAATTCAGCATCCTCTCAAGAACCCTAGTGAAATATCTTAGCTTGAATCTGGGGTCTAACACCAAAGCAACAAGCAGGAACTGATTCACATCATCTAGTGAATCAAAGTACTTGTTGTACTTGCTCCTCATTTGGACTGACATGTTGAACAATGTTTTCTCATAATCTGTGCTGTGGTTTGTGATTGGTGCATCAAAAATCTCTTCAATCTCACATTTAATTGAAACAATATCATGAAATGCCTTGTGAGCAGTAGGTTTGCTTGAAGCACTAACATTCAAAGTGACATCAAAAAACACTCTCAAAAACTTGACAAATGCAACAGCTTTATCCCAATCATCATCAGTTGGAGGCCCCACTTTTTTCCCTCTCACTCCTTTATCTTTCTTTCTTCTAATAATTTCAGCCCCTTGCCCTTGGTCCCCTATAGGTTCAGGTTCATTTCCAAATTCAATCCCTAGAACATCTTCTCCTTGTTCCTCATTTTCCTCATCATCTCATCAAAATAACTTCTATACTTAGTGTCTTCTTCTTCAGCCAATCTATCAAATGCTTGTCTAAGTTCAATAGCAGTTTCAAGCATAATAAAGGTGGAATTCCACCTAGTTGGCACATCCAAAACACACACCTTTCTACTCTGAAGTTCTTCTTTTTTGACACATTCTTTAAAGGTTTCTAACCTTGCAGGTGAGCTTCTCACATATTTTACAGCATTTCTAATAGAAGCAATTGACTTATCCATGCATTTAAGGCCAGATTTGACAATAAGATTGACAACATGAGCTAAGCACCTCATATGAAGAAACTTTCCCCCTAGAATCAGTTGTCTTTCACCATTGCCTAGTTTCCTTCTCATGTAATCTATTGCCACTTTGTTTGCAGATGCATTATCAACAGAAATGGTCAAAATCTTCTTAATAGACCAATCCTGCAAACATTTTTCTAAAATCTTCCCTATAGTAATTCCTTGATGATTAGGAATCACACAGAAGTTCAACACCCTCTTATGCATATGCCAGTTGCTACCAATGAAGTGTGCTGTAATTACCATATAATTTATGTTTTGAATTGAGGTCCATGTATCAGTGGTCAAACTAACACAATGATTCCTCAGCTCATCTTTCAAACTCTCTTTTTGGGTATTATACATGCTCAGGAAATGTTTCACCACCATTTTTCTACAGGGAATCTTCCATTTTGGCACAACAACTGAACAAAATCTTTTAAACCCTGATTTCTCAATTGCACTAAATGACAATTCATCTATAATTATCATTTCAACAGCTGCCTTAGTGCAGTTTTCTTGGGTCCAATGTGTGACAATTGATTCATTACCCTCTACATCTCTTGAAAAATGTTTTTGACCAGAATCAATATTTCTTGCACTACCAGGATAACCATCACAATGCAGTTCTAAATGCTTTTGAAGTGTGCTAGTTCCATTTCTAGTTGAATTACAAGCCAAGTCAGAATCACAGTACCTGCATTTAGCTCGGTTGGTTAATCCAACTTGGACAAGTACCCCCTCGTCGTTTCTGCTCATCAGTGGCTTTTTCACTACTTCAAAATGCTTCCACACCCATGATTTCTTTCTTTTGGTCTCAGTTTGCTCGTCGCGTTCCCTTTTCTTCTTCGTCTTTAAATTTGGCCTCGGAATTTTATTTTGCCCTAATTTTTTACCCTCGTTTTCATCTCGATCTTTGTCTGATTTTTGAGAATCACTATTTTTGTCGGAAGAAGAGGCCATGCGAAGTAAGAAAAATCGAACAAGATTGAAGATTTTTTAGAGGATTGAATGGAAATTGGGATCGGGAATTCAATTTAGGGTTTTTTCTTGAAGGGTCGCAGAGGGGCAGAAATTCGAAGAGAGAGAGATAGAGAGATTGATATGAGTTAATGTGAGAGAGAGATTATAAATTGAAATAAAAATATGATGTTCAGAATTCAGAAATCAGAAATAAAATGTTGGGCTTGGACATATATTCTAAACAGGCTTTGGGTTGGGCATGGCAAATGACATTAAGTGTAATAGTATAAGGAAATTTAAGATTGGGTTCTGGGCCAGGCTTCCTATATATTATGAAATATAATAAATATATAAAACCGGTTTCTCGGTTAATTGTAAACAATTTAATTTATAACCGAAAACCGGGAACCGGTTTCTAGACTAGAGAACCGAACCGAAAAAATGTCAGAATTTTAGCAAAAAACCGAACTGAACCGGCTATTTTCGGTTCGGTCCGGCTGGGTTTTTCGGTTCCCGGTTTTAAAATCCCACCCCTACATAAAATAATGGTGCCGTGTTCGAAAACAAGTCTTTCCGGAGACGTTGCTTACATTTTTCGTTCTTGCCCCTATTTACCCTAATTTTTCTCGACTTTTTTAAACGTGTACGATTTTGCTTCAAAACACAATGGGGCGATAAATATATGTTATCCACATCAAATAATAGTTCCGTGTTTGAAAACAAGTCTTTCCGGAGACGTTGCTTACATTTTCGTTCTTGCCCCTATTTACCCTAATTTTTCTCGACTTTTTTAAATGTGTACGATTTTGCATCAAAACACGATAAGGCGATAAATATATGTTATTCACATCAAATAATGGTGTCGTG